CTACTTGTTGTTGCTGCTACTACTGTTGTTTGCATGCTGCTGCTACTACTTGTTGTGCTGCTGCTGCTAACTATGTTGCTGCTGCGCTGCTACTACTGTTTGCTGCTGCTGCTGACTCTGTACTTGTTGTTGCTGCTGCTGCTACTACTTGTTGTTGCTGTGCTGCTGCTACTACTTGTTGTTTCTGTTGCTGCTGCTATACTGTGTTGCTGCTGCTTTTGTTGCTGCTACTACTGTAACTGTTGCTGCTGCTGCTGCTGCTGTTACTAGTACTGTTGTTGCTGCTGCTACTACTGTGTTGTTTGCTGCTGCTACTACTGTTGGTTGCTGCTGCTGACTACTGTTGTGCTACTGTTGCTGCTACTCTGTTGTGTTGCTGCTGCTGTACTACTGTTGTGTGCTGCTACTACTGTGTTGTTGCTGCTGGCTGCTACTACTGTTGCTTACTGCTGCTACTATGTTCTGCTGCTGCTGCTACTACTGTTGCTGCTGCTGCTTTTACTATTTGTTGCTGCTGCTTGCTGCTACTACTTGTGTTGCTGCTGCTCTACGGGCTACTGCTTAGTTGTTTGCTGCTGCTACTACTTGTTGTTTCTGTTGCTTGCTGCTATACTTGTGTTGCTGCTCTGCTGCTATCTGTTGACTCCTGTACTGCTGCTTGCTGCTGCTGTACTACTATGTTGTTGCTGCTGCTACTACTGTTGTTGCTGCTGCTCTATACTGTTGTTGCTGCTGCTACTACTGTTGTTGCTGCTGCTATACTGTTGCTCTGCTGCTTACTACTGTTGTGCTGCTGCTGCTGCTACTACTACTGTTGTTGCTGTTACTGTGCTGCTGCTACTACTACTGTTGCTGCTGCTCTGTGTGCTGCGCTGTGCTGCTACTACTGTTGTTGCTGCTGCTAACTACTGTTGTTGTTGCTGCTGCTGCTAACTACTACTGTTGCTGCTGCTGCTGCTGCTGCTGCTGCTACTACTGTTGTTGTTGCTGCTGCTACTACTGTTGTTGTTGCCTGCTGCTACTACTGTTTCTGTTGCATGCTGCGCTCTACTGTTGTTGTTGCTGCTGCTACTACTGTTGTTGTTGCTCTGCTGCTACTACTGCTTTTGTTGCTGCTGCTGCTACTGTTGTTGCTGCTGCTACTACTGTTGTTGTTGCTGCTGCTACTACTGTTGTTGTTGCTGCTGCTACTACTGTTGTTGTTGCTGCTGCTACTACTGTTGTTGTTGCTGCTGCTGCTACTACTGTTGTTGTTGCTGTGACTTGTTGCTGCTGCTACTACTGTTGTTGCTTGCTGCTGCTACTATTTTGTTGCTGCATGCTGCTGCTACTCGTTGCTGCTGCTGCTGCTGCTGCTACTACTGTTGTTGCTGCTGCTGCTACTGTTGCTGCTGCTGCTGCTACTACTACTGCTGCTGCTGCTGCTGCTGCTGCTGCTGCTGCTGCTGCTGCTGCTGCTGCTGCTGCTGCTGCTACTGCTGCTGCTGCTGCTGCTGCTGCTGCTACTGCTGTTGCTGCTGCTACTGCTGTTACTGCTGTTGCTGCTGCTGCTACTGCTGTTGCTGATGCTTCTGCTGTTGTTACTGCTGCTGTTGTTACTGCTACTGTTGTTGCTGCTACTGCTGTTGCTGCTACTGCTGATTTACTGCTGCTGCTTCTGCTGCTGCTGTTTCTACTGCTGCTGTTGCTTCTACTGCTGCTGTTGCTGCTACTACTGCTGATGTTGCTGCTACTACTACTGCTGTTGCTTCTACTGTTGCTGTTTCTGCTGCTGCTACTGCTGCTGTTGTAGATATTACTACTCAACCTAATACTGTTACTGCTCTGCTACTAATTACAAACTCTAAGTACAGTAGTTTCATTAACTTGAGTCAGTCTTTCCCACTTGTCACCAGTCCCTGTTATTTCTTTTCATGGAAACATGTAAAATGATTTCATTTATATTATTTTTATATTGCTGGGGAAGCACTTGACTCACTGGGCAAAGGGAGATAATCAGGTGTTATATGAGGAATGGAAGATTATCAGGACTCGAGAAATTATAACAGTTTCAAATGGATCAAAATGGATGAGGTTTGAACCTATGGCAAGTGAGTCTTAAAACTCGCAGGCCATTATGTGAACATTATTACTTGTGTAATTTTTTTTTTATTAACACATCGGCTGTTTCCCACCAAGGATGGGTGGCCTGAAAAAGAAGAACTTTAATCGTCATTCACTCCAGCACTGTCTTGCCAGAGGAGTGCTTACACTACAGTTATAAAACTGCAACATTAACACCCCTCCTTCAGAGTGCAGGCACTGTACTTCCCATCTCCAGGAATCAAGTCCGGCCTGCCGGTTTCCCTGAATCCCTTCATTAATGTTACCTTGCTTACACTCCAACAGCACGTCAAGTCCTAAAAACTATTTGTCTCCATTTGCTCCTATCTAACACGTTTGGAAGTTGAAGCCCCTCACACACAAAACCTCCTTAACCCCCTCCCTTCAACCTTTCCTAGGCTGACCCCTACCCCACCTTCCCTCCACTACAGATTTATACACTCTCAAAGTCATTCTGTTTTGTTCCATCCTTTCTACATGTCCAAACCATCTCAATAACCCCTCCTCAGCCTTCTGGATAATAGTTTTGGTAATCCCACACCTTCTCCTAATCTCCAAACTATGGATTCTCTGCATTATATTCACACCACACATTGCCCTCAGACATGACATCTCCACTGCCTTCAGCCTTCTTATTGCAACATTCACAACCCATGCCTCACACCCATACAAGAACATTGATATAACTATCATACATTCCCTTCTTTGCTTTCATGGATGAAGTTCTTTGTCTCCACAGACTCCTCAGTGTTCCACTCACCTTTTTCCCCTCATCAATTCTGTGATTTACCTCATCTTTCCTAGCCTATCTGCTGACACATCTACTCCCAAATATCTGAATACATTCACCTCCTCTATACTCTCTCCTTCCAATCTGTTATCCAATCTTCTGTTACCTAATTTTTTTATCCTCATCACCTTACTCTTTCCTATATTCACTTTTAATCTCCCTCTCGCCTACATACTCTAACCTGAGCCTCACTATCCTCGTAAAAACTTTTCACCGCTTTCAGTAACCTACCTCCTATTCCATACATTTGCAACATCTGCCACATTGCTTCCCTATCCACCCTATCGTACACCTTTTCCAAATCCATAAATGCCACAAAAACCTCTTTCTTTCATTCTTTCAACACACCAGCCGTATCCCACCGAGGCGGGGTGGCCCAAAAGGAAAAACGAAAGTTTCTTCTTTTACATTTAGTAATATATACAGAAGAGGGGGTTACTATCCCCTTGCTTCTGGCATTTTAGTCGCCTCTTACAACACACATGGCTTACGGAGGAAGAATTCTGTTCCACTTCCCCATGGAGATAAGAGGAAATAAACAAGAACAAGAACTAGTAAGAAAATAGAAGAAAACCCAGAGGGGTGTGTATATATATGCTTGTACATGTATGTGTAGTGTGACCTAAGTGTAAGTAGAAGTAGCAAGACGTACCTGAAACCTTGCATGTTTATGAGACAGAAAAATGGACACCAGCAATCCTGCCATGTCTAAATACTGTTCATTTCTATGTTTCATTGCAAACACTTGGTCTACTTGTGTAGTGTATATATACATTTCCTAGCAACATTTACAGGCAGGCTCCCTGGCCAAAATGTTAAATTAGACGCATGTACAACACTTAGGTATCTTTATTGAGGAAACGTTTCGCCACACAGTGGCTTCATTAGTCCTATACAAAGAAGAATGGTGAAAATCAGAAGGAGTTTGAGATAATCAGTCCCTCAGCCTGGAGTCAATGTAATCGGTCCATCAGTCTTGAAAAGAATGCACTATATGCCCAAAAGTGGCTTCTACACCGTAGACAGGCGAGGTGAAGCAGTCAGAGGTGATATATTGGACAAATCCATAAGTGGAAGTAGGTCATACCTATAGGTTAGACAGGGAAGAATTCCCTGTATCAGGATCCCAAGATGTTACTGTGTCTGACAGGAATGTAGATAAATGGTTTATAGAACCGACAAGATGAATTTATCATTTTGTCAGTTTTGTGAACCATTAATATACATTTTCGGCCAAGCCTTAGTCACGTGACCCCCCACACATAGGCTGTCCCTCACAAGCCTCCATGTCAGATTCATCCAGGCATAGCAAGTGGGCAGATGCGATAGGCTGGCTTTCTCTACGAATGCCAATATAATGCCTCATAAAGGTCTGCAGTTGTTTCCTTTGCTATCATCGCTCCAAAAAAGCCTCCTAACAATTCTGTCTGTTATTGTTACTGTTGCTTTTGTTGTTTCTGCTGCTGCTTTGGGTGGCTACAATCTTAATTTCTTGCCCTTGTGCTTGTTCCCTGTAACGCAGTTCATTCCCCACCTCAAGTGTGTGGTGCGGATGTTAGAGTACTTGGGTACTTTGTCGTGTGTGTTGAATAAAACTATCATCACAGCCTAAATTACATACATTTGAAATTTAGAGTTCTTGTAGGAGTCTGTGGGGTGTGGAGGGAATCAGTGGGGTGTGGTGGGAATCAATGGGGTGTGGAGGGAATCAGTGGGGTGTGGTGGGAATCAATGGGGTGTGGAGGGGATCAGTGGGGTGTGGAGGGGATCTATTGTTATGGCAAGAAACTTGAACTTTCAATGTTTTATAATGCAGCACAGTATTTGCAACCACTTTGAATGCTTGGTAATAACATTCTTTAGTTAGATAGTACTAGTTGGATAATAAGTTTGTTTATCCTCCCTTCACCACATCACAATATTTCTTTGTTGTGATACAGAACACTGCATCATTGTATTTCGTAGACTGGCCTACTGGCAGGTGTATGTGTTTTCCCTGCCTTCTTTACTGCAGCATGTGTTGAAGCGGTATGAACTGTGACCTATAATTCATTAGAGATGTTTTGTATATGCTTTGTAATGATCTAATCATTTTGTTTTTCTGCAGGTGGACTTAGAACCTCAGGGGAAGCTTCATGTGGTAATTGAATTAAAATGGGCCGAACCAGAAGATGGAAATATCCGCCCTCGAGAATTCAGGGAACGGCAGGGCTTCAACCGCCGGCGGGGAGCTATGAGGAGGCGTGTTCATCAGGTATGGTCACACTTTTATTTTTTGTAATTAATTAAACCAGAGAGAGTTGTTAAAAGATTAAGAGATGATATTTTGTATTCGTGTATTTGCACGCCTCTGGCAAGACAGTGATAGTGTGGATGACGGTGAAAGTGTTTCTCTTTTGGGTCGCCCTGCCTCAGTAGGGGAGAGCCAGCGTGTAAAAAAGAAAATTAGTAGAGCAGTGATTTAAACAAATTAATTAACAGTGCAGTAAACCTGTAGGGGCTTGAATATTCAGTGGCCTTGTGTGACCGTGTTAAAGCGGAATGAGTGGAGACAAATTTAGAAAATTTACTTAATATATCTGGTATCTTATTTTCATTAATAAGATATATTGGCATATCATGTAGGTTATCATTTGTAAAAAATAATGATTAGGATAAAAGGATTGCAGTTGATACACAAGCAGTAGCTGCAAACTTTATTTAGAGAATTTTCACCTGCACAGCAAGCAGACTTTATCAAGTTTTGATAAAGGCTTGATGAAGTCTATTGCACGGATAAAATCTTGAATAAAGTCTCCAGTTGCTGCCTGTGTGTTTATTAGCAACAGCTTGTCAGTAGTCCTGTACCTTTCATTGCTAGAACAAAGAGATTTGGATGTGGGAAAGTCGTTGAGCTAGAAAAATGTTGGATAATTGTATCTATTAGCTGGTTGTTCAGTTAAAATGTTGGATAATTGTATCTATTAGATGGTTGTTCAGTTAAAATGTTGGATAATTGATTCTATTAGATGGTTGTTCAGTAAAAATGTTGGATAATTGAAATCCTCGAAGATGGAAGCCTTCAAATTTGTAGGGATTACTGTAGATGTATCACTGGATGATGTCTCTGACATACATGGTAAGTCACATAGGACTTGTGGAAAGAAAAAGAAAGTTGTGGAGCAGTGTGGAAAGAGAAAAATTTGTCATAGGATGCAACCTTTAGAAAGTTTCTGAATACTGTATAGTGGGGCCAACATTTTTGTATGGATGTGAACCATGGTCTTTGAATTTTCCATCAAGAGGAATAATCTTTGGAATTTTATATGGTGTTTGAATGTTTGGAAGGTAGTGTCGACAGTGGAAGTCTGTGGAATTTGGATGTACATGAATGGTATATACTACTGAAGATGAATTAGATGCTTGTGCAATATCTGGGTATCTTTATTTGTAGATGTTTTGCCACCCAGTGGCTTCATCAATACAATACAAAGGCATAATGTGAAGAATATAGATATAATCAGTCTCTCAGCTGAGGAACTGATTATTGCACCTTTTGTATATAGTTCTACATTCTTGACATTATGTCCCTGTATTGATAAAGCAACTTGATGGTGAAACATCTACAAAGATACCCAGATGTTGCATATGAAAATTTGGCTACCTGGAATCAAGTTCTAAAAGTTAGGAAATAAAGTATACTGTGTAGTTGAATTCTGAATCTAATTTGGCCTCAGACTAGGCTGTGAGGGTAGAAATACCCTCAGAGCCAGTCACAGGTATGTCATGGTTGGGGAGATGGCAGTGTTGTGGAAAGGCAATTAGAGAGAGATTGAACATATTCTTTGGGTCACTCTGCCTAGGTGGGTAGTGAACAATGAGTTAATGAGAATTGTTAATTAAAAGGAGAATAATTAATTTATTTCTTTTGAAGTTTTACCGTCAACAATAAGGCTAGCAGACTGTCAGCTGTTTTAGATGTGTCCTCATAGTTAGTGTTTACTAACAGTATTTAAAGTAATGTTTTTTGAGGTGAGTGGGATTAAATTCATCCCTGTAAAGAACACTGTAATAATATGGTAAATTTAATACTAAATTTAACTTTCAGGTCAATGGTCACAAGTTCATGGCTACTTTCCTACGACAGCCAACCTTTTGTTCGCACTGCAGAGATTTTATATGGGGATTAGGGAAACAGGGTTACCAATGTCAAGTATGCACCTGCGTCATCCACAAGCGGTGTCATCAGTCCGTCGTCACACGATGCCCAGGAAGCAAGAGTATAGAAACGACCTCAGAGGAGCCATCAGTGAAGGTATAGATTTTAGGATCATTTATGCTTGATCACAGAAGTGTTGTGTATCTAACTGCAAGTAGTTACTCCTTTTTCATAAGAAAAATTTAGTGGTAATTTAAATAGTACAGTACAGTGGACCCCCGCTTTACGATCACCTCCCAATGCGACCAATTTTGTAAGTGTATTTATGTAAGTGCGTTTGTACGTGTATGTTTGGGGTCTGAAATGGACTAATCTAATTCACAGTATTCCTTATGGGAACAAATTCGTTCAGTACTGGCACCTGAACATACTTCTGGAATGAAATAATATTGTAAACCGGGGGTCCACTGTATACAGTGGACCCCCGATTAACGATATTTTTTCATTCCAGAAGTATGTTCAGGTGCCAGTACTGACCGAATTTGTTCCCATAAGGAATATTGTGAAGTAGATTAGTCCATTTCAGACCCCCAAACATACACGTACAAACGCACTTATATAAATACACTTACATAATTGGTCACATTAGGAGGTGATCATTAAGCGGGGGTCCACTGTACATGTATTACAGGTTTCATTGATATTGTGGGCTTAAGATTACCTATTTGTACCTATAAAAGCATAGTCATTTTTATGCTGTCCTATATTTAATCTCCTAATAGGTGTAATAGCAAGGGGCTATTAACCCCCTTCTCCTATATACATCTATTACTAAATTTAAAAAGAGAAACTTTTGTTTTTCTTTTTAGGCCAGTTTGTTGAAAGAAGAATCAGGTGTAATAAATATCCCCTGATGGGAATATCCCTCCAGCAGGGACTACAGATGAAGGAGGGATAACTTCTGCAGAAAGGCATTAATCAGAGGGTGGTTCGGACATTTGGGGAGGGTGGAGCAGAAATAGATTTAGGATGCAGTAGTTCCCCCAGATTCGCGGGGGTTATGTTCCAAGACCACCCGTGAATTTGGAAAAGCCGTGAATTCTGGACATGGTTAAAAAAAAATGCCTATTTTTATAGTTTAGACCCTAAATATGCCTCCAAAACACTTTAATTTAATTTCAGACTCAGCTTCATGCATCACCCTTAAAAGAAAAAAAAAAGAATGTAAAGAGAAGCCCCTATACAGTACTGTACTGCTATGTCTCCTGCAGTGCTAGAATGTAAAATACCAATGTTACCCCCATATGTGCTGTAATTCGTGCAAGGGTATATATACAGTAATAATTTAATTTAGTAAAAGTAAAGTTAAATGTATGGGTACTTGTCAATAATGAATGATACTGATTGATGATGATGATGATGATGAATTAGTATTGTATTTTATATGGGAATTTTGCTGAATTTGTTAATATTTATGTTACAGAATTATTAAATTATATTTTTCATAATATTTAGCATTAAAGCGCACAAAAAAATATATATTGCCACGAGAAAAGTAAAAGAAAATTCAGTGAACTTGTGGGGATTTCCGCAAACAATTATTAGTTAGGTTCTAAGGAAAAATCCACGAATTTGCAGGGGTCCACTGTATAAATCTGGAGTGGAAAGAATGAGGTGCAGGGGCCATCCCAGGAAGAGTTGGAGGGAGGGTGTGAAAGTGATTTTATGTAGTAGGGGCTTTATCATCCAGCAGGTGTGGATGAATGTGTTCACACTCAGACTTCCTGTTGGAGTGTGAACAAGGTGACATTCATGAAGGGGTTCAGAGAAACTAGTTATCCAGACTTGTCCTGGAGGTGGAATGTAAAATGTCAACACTTGGAAGGGAGATGGGAGGTGCTGTAGTTTGGAGGATCATTTGAAGTGTGATATTTGACAATATGGTGATTTTTTTTTAAGTTACCTTACATTCATTGGAGATAATGATGAAAAAAAAAAAATTACAATACAGATTTGTTAGTAAAGTCATCAATAGTTGATATATAGTTGGAAGTTGAGCACAGTATTGTATTTACATTTAAGTGAATATATACAGTATACAGGAAGGTCCCCCTTACACAGCAGGTTGGGTTCCAGGCTGCTGCTGTAAAGTAAAACATTGCATATTTTTTTTTCACTTTCAAATCCATATAAAAGCCTGATAGCATGTTTACACTGTCATATATTGAGTGAGTAATATAGCTAAGCTTAAAATATGCATATACAGTACACACATTACATACCTTAAAATATATTTGCCCTTAGCTTATAGTGAGTGGTGACTGTTTATTGTAGGAAGTCTGAATAAATCAAGATTGAAAATAATTGAAAACCATTCTAAAGCCAAACACTGTAAAGAAAGACCTGCCTGTACTTTATTTAAAGATAGAATTGCTCCTTTGCTATCAGCTAGGATTCTGCTTATAAATCTGTATATATTCTCTGTAATAACATTCTTCACTTGAAGCTTTAAGCATTTTGTATTTTTTGCACCTAATGAACTGATGTGTTTATTAAGTTTTTTTAATTAAGAAAATTTTTTCATTTTATTTTCAGGGAAGTGGTCAGCAGCGTTTCAATGTCAATGTGCCACACCGGTTTTCTGTTCACTCGTACAAGCGGTTTACTTTCTGCGACCATTGTGGTTCACTGCTCTATGGCCTTATCCGTCAGGGTCTCCAGTGTGAAGGTGAGGATCACACTGATCTTATCATTTCTTAACATCTCTGAAATAGTATTACAGCACTTCAGAATTTTTTTTTTAAACTTGTAGCATGAGCTTGTAAGATGGTAGGTAAATCTCACAAACTACAGTACCACCTGCATTCACTATATTAATCTTATTTTTTTTCTCTGTGTTTCTTAGTAGTTCTTCATCCTGTAGTGTTTTCAGTTTAGAAGGCCTGGTCTGAGATCAGGTTGTAGGGGTGATGATTCCCTCTGAACCAGTAACTAATATAATCGTCTATTGAAAGCTGTCTGTTTAACAAGGTATAGTTTAATTTTTCTTTAAGGAAGATGAAAACTAATTTTTAACAATTGCTTATTATTTATTGACATTTAATTACTGTATCTTATTTAGGTTGATATAAATTTTTTTTCCTGTAATTCCAATTATACGAAGGCCAGATAATAAAGCCTCTGTAATTAAAGTACCCTTATGTTGTTTCTAGGTCAAATAATAATCTTGGTTTTGTTTTATTCACTTGATAATTTTGTTCGTCACATTTATTAATAAGATTGAGAGCACTAACCTTGCTTTTATCTTTATTTTCAGTATGCAATATGAATGTTCACAAGAGATGCCAGAAAAATGTAGCGAACAATTGTGGGATAGACGTCAAACAGTTATCTGAAATCCTCACAGCCATGGGAATACGTCCTCAAGATGAACCAGGGAAACGCAAAAAGAAAGTACGTTGCACCTTTGCTGTCTTTTTTCTTCATTTTTGGGTGTGATGAAGAATTACACGTGTGCAACACCTAGTTATCTTTATTGTAGATATTTCACCATCCAATGGCTTTATCAATAAAAATTCAAGAACTTAATAGGAAAATGGTACAACTATATACAAAAGACAAGGTAATCAGTCCCTCAGCCTTTTAATTGAAGAGCACTGCAGTGTTCAAGACTACAGTGTTGCATGTGTAATTCTTCAACTTGTGGGTTTTGTATACCATACATGTACATTTTTTGGTATCAGTGTGATGGCCATGGTGGTAGGGTTCTGCACATGTGAAAAACTTTAATGGTATGAATACTGAGAGGCATAAAGAATTTGATATAAAATAGAGGTCAATTCTAGGCAGTGGATTTATTGGCCATATCCTCTTTTTAAAGATGCATTATAATTTTAGAAGTGGTTATCTCATAGTGATGGCTTTTATTCTCTAGAAACATTCTAATTGCAGTTTGTTGTTAGTTTCAAATTCCCATAGTCCTTGACATATTACTCTTCAGTGCAACACATGCTCAATACTGTTCATAGATATAGGGTGACAGATAGGCATAGCATGCCAGAGGTTCTTTGTTTCCCCATTTTTGGAAACATAAACACATATGCAGTTTAATGTGATCCTTTATTGACAACGTTTCACCCACACAGTGGGCTTTTTCAAGTCACACACAGATCTGTGTGTGACTTGAAAAAGCCCACTGTGTGGGTGAAACGTTGTCAATAAAGGATCACATTAAACTGCATATGTGTTTGTTTCATTGTGTCGGTATTTTATACCATTTATTTTTCCCCATTTTTGTTTGTCTTTTATAGCTTCCTCCTCCATACATGCATGTATGACCTCCCATTGTATGTCACTCCTGTTCTTCAAGCTCATATAGCTTGAAGAATAAAAAATCTCAGTACCATTACTGGAACAATTCACAAATCTGCACTTAAGAGAGGAAACTTATGACAACTGTTCAGTCTGTCTTGGAAAACTGTCAAGTCTCAACTGGTCTAGGACAGATTGAACATTGCATGTTATTAGTGAACCCTTATAACTTGTGTCAACAAACAGGGTGATGTATAACAAGTCTGTTAGATGCTTGACCATGCATTTATGCTGGACCAGTAAGCCAGTGGAAGGCCTCGGTCAGATGACCAGAGGCTCCAGCTGCAGGTCATCATATGACTAAGACACACATCAGGAAACACTTGTCCTGTTTCCTGACAAGCCTTACCTTACCTAACCTAATCTGTGCTGAGTTAATAATGGTGGGATTTTACTTGTCACTATAAATTTCATACATTTGGCACTACCATCTACTATTTCTTCTTTCTCTTGATTATTTTGTCTTCTGCATCTACTGCTACTTGCACTTCTTTTTAATGCTGGGTATATTCCATGAGGGAAAAAAGGTGAGTGGTGCGTTGAGGTATATGTGGAGACAAAAAACGTTATCTATGGAGGCAAAGAAGGGAATGTATGAAAGTATAGTAGTACCAACACTCTTATATGGGTGTGAAGCTTGGGTTGTGAATGCAGCAGTGAGGAGGCGGTTGGAGGCAATGGAGATGTCCTGTCTAAGGGCGATGTGTGGTGTAAATATTATGCAGAAAATTTGGAGTGTGGAAATTAGGAGAAGGTGTGGAGTTAATAAAAGTATTAGTCAGAGGGCTGAAGAGGGGTTGTTGAGGTGGTTTAGTCATTTAGAGAGAATGGATCAAAGTAGAATGACATTGAGAGCATTTAAATCTGTAGGGGAAGGAAGGCGGGGTAGGGGTCGTCCTCGAAAAGGTTAGAAAGAAGGGGTAAGGGAGGTTTTATGGGCAAGGGGCTTGGACTTCCAGCAGGCGTGCATGAGCGTGTTCGATAGGAGTGAATGGAGACGAATGGTATTTGGGACCAGACGAGCTGTTGGAGTGTGAGCAGGGTAATATTTAGTGAAGGAATTCAGGGAAACCAGTTATTTTTATATAGCCAGACTTGAGTCCTGGAAATGGGAAGTACAATGCCTGCACTATAAAGGAGGGGTTTGGGATATTGGCAGTTTGGAGGGATATGTTGCGTATCTTTATTCATATATGCTTCTAAACTGTTGTGTTCTGAGCACCTCTGCAAAAACAGTGATTATGTATGAGTGAGGTAAAAGTGTTGAATGATGATGAAAACATTTTCTTTTTGGGTATTTTCTTTCTTTTTGGGTCACCCTGCCTTGGTGGGAGACGACCGACTTGTTAAAAAAAAAAAAAAAAAAAAATATTCCATTCCTGGATATTTGGTCATTGGTACACATATTGGTTCTCTTTTAATGCTTTGCTGCTCTGTACTTTATCTCATGTAAGTGTATACTTGCAGTGGTAGCTTTTCTTTTGTTTCATTAATCCTTATATCTTTTTACTATTAACTGTTTTACTGGTATCAGCTGGTTTAGAGATACAAAAAATATTTTGAAATAGTCATCTTTGACCATAATGTCTCTTATGAGATAAAAGATGCTTTCTGCAAATGGTGTATATTAAAATTTTTGCTAATGTTAAATGTCATTATTTTTTTTTTTAAAGTTAGTAGAACATAGTTTTACACAAGATTTTAAACCACAGAATGTTTCAAGAAATTAATATAAACTTACTTATTTGTACATTTTTTTTTTTTCAACAAGTCTCCCACCGATTATATATTCCCTCTTATACTGAAACTAGTTTTTTGAAATATTATTTAAAGAAAGAAATATTTTTCAGTAAAACTTTGATATAACAGATCTCCATTTAACAGATTTTGGTTCCTTTGACAACTACTATTGGGTTATAGAGCTGGGATGGCCTAAGGGCTGTTGTAGCTCTTTAACTCAGCAATACTCAGCCTAGGAGCTGTCACAACCCTCCAACAGAACAGTAACAAGAACTCACTGTGATCCTGGCCTTAATATTTCAATAATTTTTTTTATTATTTTTGTGTTATGCTCTCAAACATGGGGGGTATAACATTATGCATCTTAATTAGTAGATCTATATCTGGGAGTATACATTTCATCATTCAAAAAAATAATGAAAACTAGCTATGGAATATTACTGTCACGGTCCCCATCACGAGTTATATTGTGCTCTTTTATGGGAAAACGCGATTAGCTGTAGAGTATTTCACTCTTACCGTTTCACTCCTTCAGTCGCTCTCTAGGTCATTAAGCTTTTAATGCTGTAAATATGAAAGATAATTTACCAGTGTGGCACAGTGACATAGTCATAGATTGTCTCACATACACAGATGTGATTACTATTTATTTAGGCCTGTAACTATCATGGTGATAATTTATTTATGGATATAAACATCAGTTTCCTCACATTTTAACCCTGATAATGCAAAGGATAAGAAAGCAATGTGTGTGTACTTGTGTGTGTACAACGTAAATTGTGTCGAGTAATGATTTATCGGATAATCTGTGTTATCAAATAGTTTTTCCCTATTGGACTGCTAAATTGAAGTTTTACTGTATTTCTTATTACTTTACATAAGCATACAAGTCTTCAAAAGTCACAGAAGTGTAAAAAGAATTTTTTTTTTGTAATTAGTGTTTAATATATTTGTAATAAAAATGGCTTTCCTCAGTCAATCAGTGAACCATCCAAATTACCAACATCAGCTTCAGCCTCTGTGAGTGTCCCGGGAAGCATTAGTGAAATTGAAGAGCTGGGAACAATGAAGGATGAGGAACTGAGACTAAGGATCGAGGCTCAGAGAATTATGGAACTGAAGATGAAAGATCGATGTCCAGAGGAAGAACAAGATACGAGGCGTGAGTAAAGATAAGCCACTTGTTGCATAGTGATGGTGTTAGCAGTAAGCACAGTTTAGAAGATGAACTAATTTTGAATGCTGTTTCCTCCCTCACTGTAATGTAAGCAGCTGTTGGTTTGAAGTAACAGATAAGAAAGTAGGCAGAAAGTAGTATGCTTGGGGACAGTGGTGTAGTTAACAGCATGCCGTATTCACTTTATGAACCTAATTTTGAGCATCATTGTCTATAAATTGGCAAAATTGTTACCATTAGTACTTGACTTACCTGTATTTGTTATTGTTATTTCCAAATTAAGTGGCACTGCCTTGCCTAGGAGTATTTTATCATAAGAAGGAAAAGTATATTCAGAGGGGGAAGACCTGGCTGAGGAAACATATATTGTCTGGATGCTGCTCTGGGAAATTTGTTCTAAGACATGTAATGGTTGGAGTAGTTGGAGCAATTTCACCCTTGCAAACCATGCTGCAAGATGTGGACACAACTGAATTGAGTAGATAAAAAAAATCCCATAGATCTTTACAACATGTCTTTGCAATCTCTTAAATTAAGTGATAATAAAAGAATAGATTTAGTTACATGGGTAACATAAAATTCAGGCATTGGTTTCTATAGAACCTTAGATATAGACGAAGAGCCAGATTTGTTTGACAGTAATGAGCAGGAAGTAAATTAAGATACAAAGAAAATTATAGAAGCTGAGGGATGATTATTAGAGGAATAATTGAATGTTAGTTATGAAGAGTTTGTTTGTGTGTTTTCCATATAAAGCGGGAATAGCAGTCATACAATAAAAATGGCTGATATTGTAGTCTGGGTATAAGACTTATAAAAAGTCATGAAATTGGTTATGTTTAGAACTGTTGAAGTGTATTTAGCTACTAGTGAATAGCTAGATATAGAGTATCCAAATTTTGAAGTGAAAACTTAATTTTACCGAATATCTTTAGGAGCATATTATTAGATTAAAAATTCCAAAATGATTGTGCTGCAAGCTTAAAAGATGTCATAAATGGTCAGCTTGAAGGTTTATGACGAGGAGGAGTTCGAGTGTCACCTGCCTAATGAAAGATTTCCTTAGCAACAGCGAGAACACTAGACACTGACTTAGACATGGTGCTCGGTGGGAAGAAGCTCGGGTTAGACGACTTCAACTTCATCAAAGTACTGGGCAAGGGAGCTTTGGCAAAGTTATGTTAGCTGAACTAAAAGGAACGGATGAAGTTTATGCTGTCAAGGTTAGTTGTGCCCTTCCTTATATTGCACTACTTATATTTTGTAGTAATTAACACAAAAACAAACACACATGCACACAAATGCACACACATGCACAAACACACACATGCACAAGCATACACATGTACAAGCATACACATGTACAAGCATACACATGTACAAGCACACATGCCCATGCCTACACAAGTGCACACATACAAGCATACATGCACATGTGCACACACACACTCGTATGCCAATAAGTTTATGTAATATATAATTTTATATGTTTGGCTATATAGCCAAAACTTAATGACCTGGCTTATTCGGCAATGATCATTTTGCCAAACAATCCAAGCGTATATTAATTTTTGCCGTACCTGCGAAAATGTTAAATAATAGTAACTAAATTAAGGGTGGCCTTAAATAGGTTCAGTAGGATTAACCTGTATTGTGCTTTGTAAATTTAGCGAAGTTAGGCCAGGCTGCAAAGTTTCATCGATCAAAAATTAATTTGCATGGTGTTAATTGGCGTAAAATTACATTTTGAATTATAAAAATGACTGTGCAGAGGGAACCATTTAGGGCTCCCCTTATAGTATGTCAAACTTATCCTTCCTATTATTCCTGATAGCACTGATTCAGTCTGGGATACTCAGATAAGCATATAGTTTGCCATCACCACTGCTGTAAAGTTATTGTGTATAAGTGTGAAGTGAGACTTGTGTAACCCATGTCAATCCATTTGATATCATGAAACAAAAGAACTGAGAGAGATTAAAACCAGGGCACTCCTTCCCCACAGAAATTTTTGAACTTCTAAATGTACATTTTTGTATGCCTCCAGCACCCAGAATGGCTGAGTTAACCGTTTGAGCATGGCAAAATCCAAATAGTTATAAAGCAGGTAAAAAAATGTGAGAAGTGTGAGGGTTATTGTCTTAAGACACCAACAATGACACTAAATGGTGTGAAAGAGGGTTTCTGTATTACTCTGCCAGGGGCAAAGCTGGCATCAGAATGCAGTAAGGCTAGACGAGGCATCTAATGATGCTGAAGTCTTTCTGTTGCTTGTGCACACAGGCACAAGGACAGGCAACACAAGACAAGCCACATGTTTGATCATCAAAGCCAAGATACATGGTTGATCTATTAGTTCAGTCCATTTGCCATTTGCATTCTGCTTTATCACAAGGATGGGTACACCCCAATATAGCAGAGGAGGGAGAGCTGATAGGCAATTATGCAACTGCATCCTAGGTGTTTCTGGCAGGTCTGCAGGTCTGAGAATGGCCTGTGAACACAACAGTCAAGTGTTACTTTGCTCACAGAGGCACAGGCATTTGTTGAGTCTAAAATGACAAGTATAGTAGTTGGCATAGAGATGCATTGGTTACATTCAAGGTGAGCACCTAAATCCACCTCACTGCTGAGATATATAGAGCAAAGAGCAAAATTGTTCTGGTCAGTGTGATAGAAACCCATTATCCAGAAAAAATAATCAGAAAGACCAGTTTAATATTTTAGCTTGCATCTGAGGTCCTCTTTGGCAAATTGTGGAGGAGACAGTAGCTCCTGCTGTAGTGATAAGGAGAGGTCACCTGTCATTATTAACACATCGGCTGTTTACCTTCAAGGCAGGGTGATCCAAAGATGGTAAAAACAATGCCATAAACTGCATTCCAATGATCTACTGAAATACATGATCTTCACCCATCCTTCAGAGTGCAAGCACTTTATTTCCTCATCTCCAGAAGTCTGGCTAACTGGTTTGCCTGAATTTCCTCAGAGATTTTACCTTGCTTATACTTCAGCAGCATGCCAAATCCCCAAAAAACATTGTCTCCACTCCTATCTAACATGCTCACACATGTCTGTGAGATGCTTGCCCCTGCCTGTTAAAATTGTCATATCTTCCTCCTAATGGTTATTAAATTGTTCTGTTCATCCCAGATATACACAGTATATGCTTGTTTTGTAAACCTGTCTTTCTACATTCTTTCAAAATAACCAAACCATTTCCTCTCATGTTCTGCTCTCTGAAATATACTTTTTGCACCACCATATCGCCTTTTTCTTTAATTCTCAGTCTCTCAATCAAAATCATTGCCTATTGACATCAAATGTGACATTTGTATTCCTACAACACTGGAAGACCATGCCTCGCATTCATGCAGTAGTGTCGATATCAACATTCTCTTGTACATTTCCTCTTTTTTTTTTTTCATCCATTGATAAACTTTTATCTTTTCACAGACTTCTGTACACTCCCTCTACCTTTTTATCATTGTCTATTTTGTGCATCACCTCTAGACCTGTCTGCTGACACATCCACTTTGAAACACTGTACATTCACTTCTGTCTTACCACTTCCCTCTAGTCTGATACTCAGTTTTTTATTGCCTAGACTACTGCTTACTCTCATCACTTTGTTCTATTCTGTGTTCACTTTTAACTTCTTTATTTTACTCACCCTTGCTAATGCCTATAAATGTATTATTACAATATATTTTGAGTGTCTTGTGTAACATAATTTTATTGAAAGCTTTCTTAATATCAGTAGAGTTCATGTAAAGATTAAATACATAGAACCTTTCAGTGAATTCCAGTTGGATTACTAGTATACTTGTATTAGTGCTTCTATATCAGTGTAGGCTAAATTAGACAAGTTAAGTTTGCACTCAAACATGTAGAAAGTATGCCAAGTAGTAGGTAGGTTGAAATATAAAATTGTAATATGAGTAATGTGATTGAAAGCGGTTTTATATTTATCTCTGTCCTTTTGGTTTGTTGATGTTACACATTTTGTCCTCATCTTCAGTCTTGGTTGAATATGTGCATATTTGTGAGAGGAAATGTTGTAGTGGGCATTTCTCACTTTATTCCTGATTTTCTGATGCTTCAATCCCTTGTATTGACTTTGGTATTGATTGTTCAAGTATTTATTTATTCATATTAAAACTTTTTCTTTTAATCCAGCTGGATTTTCTAATTTTCCAAGTACAATGGAATCTCTACTTGTGAGCGCATCCATGTGTGAGTTTTTTCAAATATGAGCAGTCAATTGGTCTATTTTTTGCTTCCATACGTGAGCGAAATTGCCATAAGCGAGTGGGCCTCAAGGGAGGTTCCGTGACGCTGGTGAGGGGCTCTTGCTCTTGATCTAGGGGATTGGATCTCATTTGTTTGTTAGACTATCTTATTGAAACTTGGGCAATGTATGATGGAAAGATGCTTCTTAACGTACACCAAAAATGAAAGATATCGGACCATAAATAATGGAATTCACTTCTCAGCAATTAGCCTCCCCTTAGCAGTATTTTTGTATGGTTTTTATGGCTGTATTCTCGTTTTTTTGGTCTCATTTGATAAAATGGAAGATATATTACAGAAATAGATATGATTTTGATTGATTTCATGACAAAAAATACCTTGAAATTGAGCTCAAAGTAGCAGAAATGCAGTCGTGAATGGGTTGATATTATTTATACAAATATTACAGTAATACAGTAGTCTGCATAACAGTAAATCTTCTGTTTGTTTTGTGAATAAAAATTAAAAAATTACAAATTATTTTTATTGTAATAAAAGTAATATTAATAATGTTTTTTTTTTCCCCAACAAGTCGGCCGTATGATATACACTGTAACATAATAATATTAATATAATGCATATAATAATAGTATAGGGGTGGGATTAAATTATGGGGAATTAAATACAAAATGGGAATAGACACAGTTGCTTTTTGCTGATGATACTGTGCTTATGGGAGATTCTAAAGAAAAATTGCAAAGGTTAGTGGATGAGTTTGAGTGTGTGTGTAAAGGTAGAAAGTTGAAAGTGAACATAGAAAAGAGTAAGGTGATGAGGGTATCAAATTATTTAGATAAAGAAAAATTGGATATCAAATTGGGGAGGCGGAGTATGGAAGAAGTGAATGTTTTCAGATACTTGGGAGTTGACATGTCGGCTGATGGATTTATGAAGGGTGAGGTTAATCATAGAATTGATAGGGAAACAAGGTGAGTGGTGCATTGAGGTATGTGTGGAGACAAAAAACGTTATCTATGGAGGTAAAGAAGGGAATGTATGAAAGTATAGTAGTACCAACACTCTTATATGGGTGTGAAGCTTGGGTTGTGAATGCAGCAGCGAGGAGGCGGTTGGAGGCAGTGGAGATGTCCTGTCTAAGGGCAGTGTGTGGTGTAAATATTATGCAGAAAATTTGGAGTGTGGAAATTAGGAGAAGGTGTGGAGTTAATAGTATTGGTCAGAGGGCTGAAGAGGGGTTGTTGAGGTGGTTTGGTCATTTAGAGAGAATGGATCAAAGTAGAATGGCATGGAGAGCATATAAATCTGTAGGGGAAGGAAGGCGGGGTAGGGGTCGTCCTTGAAAAGGTTGGAAGGAAGGGGTAAGGGAGGTTTTGTGAGCGAGGGGCTTGGACTTCCAGCAGACATGCATGAGCGTGTTCGATAGGAGTGAATGGAGACGAATGGTATTTGGGATCTGACGATCTGTTGGAGTGTGAGCAGGGTAATATTTAGTGAAGGGATTCAGGGAAACCGGTTATTTTTATATAGCCGGACTTGAGTCCTGGAAATGGAAAGTACAATGCCTGCACTTTAAAGGAGGGGTTTGGGATATTGGCAGTTTGGAGGGATATGTTGTGTATCTTTATACGTATATGCTTCTAAACTGTTGTGTTCTGAGCACCTCTGCAAAAACAGTGATTATGTGTGAGTGTGGTGAAAGTGTTGAATGATGATGAAAGTATTTTCTTTTTGGGGATTTTCTTTCTTTTTGGGTCACCCTGCCTCGGTGGGAGACGGCCGACTTGTTAAAAAAAAAAAATAATGTATAATAATAATGTACTATATAATAATAATTATAATAGATGGCTTCAAAAGGCCATCACTAGATGGCAGTGTTTACACCACAACAAAGCAGGAGTGGTTGTGGCTGCCTCCACATGTTACATAATGACATATTTTATTCATTCTAGAGTATATATCAGGTTTCTATGTTATCTCTATTGTTTATTATATCATATTAAATGAATTGTGATAGATAAATAAGCCATGGAGTTGATATTAGGGAAATTATTGAAGTACAGAATTCCACTGGAATGGATTAATTGCATTTCTATTAATTTAAATGAGGAAAATTGACTGCAAACAAGCAAATCCAGATGCAAGCAAGGTCATGGAATGGATTAAACTCGTGAGTGGAGGTTCCGCTGTATCCTGTTATGTGGCATCATATTAAAAGCCTTCTTATAACCTAAGAGAAAACAGTCTTCTCTCCTGTGTGATTTATTAATATATGTTCCTTATTGTATTATAAGGAATGACTCAATATTTCTGAATCCATCCTAGAGTTAGGGGAGGATTTTTGTGTCTTAGGAATGTAAGGTGACAGGTAAGTTTTGTATGCCTCTCCTTACATTCTTTATGCTCCTGTTACTTTTCTGTGTGTTTGTTAATAGTTATTATAAAGAACAAAAAGGAACAACACCATGACTAAATCAATACAGGTAAACTCCAGGTAATACACAAATAACACTCCTATATATACTGGCTCCCTCACCTTCGTGTGTTAGTGTGACTTGTCAATGGTCCAAGTCCGACTGAAATATTGTCATAAGCTTCTCTCTTATGTGCAATTTATTTGTGAAACTGGGCTATAGATGATCTCTGGAACTGTTACTAGATAATGTGTATGGTTTATCCTTCCTTGTGTCTGCTATTTGCTCCTCATTTGTAAGCAGAGAATTAAATATTTTGTTGAGCTTATTACATTCTTTCCTATCATTTCTTGTAAGTGTTCTAATAATTTTCTGTCATCACTGAATCTTTGTCTTTTTTTTTTTCTGATGTGATTGTGAAGCAGTTTTGGTTCTGATTTTGCTTTGACAGTGATGTACATTTCAAATTTATTTTTAATTTAGCTTATGTCATTTAAGTGTCGCTGGGTAAGTAGGGGCAATAGGTGTAAGGAGATTTGTCCAGATGCCATGCCTTGCCTTGCCTTGCCTTGCCTTGCCTTGCCTTGCCTTGCCTTGCCTTGCCTTGCCTTGCCTTGCCTTGCCTTGCCTTGCCTTGCCTTGAGTTGCCTTTCCTTGCCTTGAGTTGCCTTTCCTTGCCTTGCCTTGAGTTGCCTTTCCTTGAGTTGCCTTGAGTTGCCTTGCCTTGAGTTGCCTTGAGTTGCCTTGCCTTGCCTTGAGTTGCCTTGAGTTGCCTTGCCTTGCCTTGAGTTGCTTGCCTGCCTTGAGTTGCCTTGTTGCTTGCCTTGCCTTGGCTTGCCTTGCCTTGCCTCTTGAGTTGCCTTGAGTTGCCTTGCCTTGCCTTGAGTTGCCTTGAGTTGCCTTGCCTTGCCTTGCCTTGCTTGCCTGCTTGTTGCCTTGCCTTGCCCTTGCCTTGAGTTGCCTTGCATGATTGCCTTGCCTTGCCTTGCCTTGTGCCTTGCCTTGCCTTGCCTTGTTGCCTTGCCTTGCCTTTTGCCATTGCCTTGCCTTGCCTTGCCTTGAGTTGCCTTGCCTAGAGTTGCCTTGAGTTGCCTTGCCTTGCCTTGCCTTGCCTTGCCTTGCCTTGCCTTGCCTTGCCTTGCCTTGCCTTGCCTTGCCTTGAGTTGCCTTGCCTTGCCTTGAGTTGCCTTGCCTTGCCTTGAGTTGCCTTTCCTTGAGTTGCCTTGAGTTGCCTTGCCTTGAGTTGCCTTGCCTTGCCTTGAGTTGCCTTTCCTTGCCTTGCCTTGAGTTGCCTTTCCTTGCCTTGCCTTGAGTTGCCTTGCCTTGCCTTGAGTTGCCTTGCCTTGAGTTGCCTTGCCTTGAGTTGCCTTGAGTTGCCTTGCCTTTCCTTAAGTTGCATTGCCTTGCCTTGAGTTGCCTTGAGTTGCCTTGCCTTTCCTTGAGTTGCATTGCCTTGCCTTGAGTTGCCTTGAGTTGCCTTGCCTTGCCTTGCCTTGAGTTGCCTTGCCTTGCCTTGCCTTGAGTTGCCTTGCCTTGCCTTGAGTTGCCTTGCCTTGCCTTGCCTAGGAGTCGAACTCAGGTCCCTTGAGCTGTGTACACCAAGCACTTTATCATTGAGCTACAGGTCACTTTAGTATGTTTGAGTGTGCATGTACATATATGAGTATATACTTGTATATACATATATTAATGTGTATATTTGCCAGTACTCTGTAAAATTATGGATATTCTATAGTGTAGTTGTGTTGAACAGGTGCTGAAAAAAGATGTTATCCTTCAAGATGATGATGTAGAATGTACAATGACTGAGCGGCGCATCTTGGCACTTGCTGCCCACCACCCTTTTCTCACCGCCCTCCATTCTTGCTTCCAAACCAAGGTGAGGATTTGTTTTCATGATGATTTGTTGTAATACCTTCTAAGCAAAGTTGGTAGTGCATATTAAAAAGCTTGTAATATTGGCTGATGTGTTTCTGTCAAATAACTTTTGACACTGCTTCCTGTGTGACCCAGATCTTTAAGGGCTGGTAAACCCTTGGGTTATCTAATGTAGAAATAAGACAGTTGGTTCTTGCTTGCACTGGGAAAGAGGAATGTTGAAATAATGATTATTGCTTTCAGGAAAGCATGTATATGAGGCATTTTACTACAAGAAAGAATAAGTGTCATATTTAAATAGTGAAGAATTTTTTTTTTTTTTACACCAGCTGTAACCTACCAAGACAGGGTAACCTAAAAAGAAAATGATTTATATAGGAGAAGGGGTTATTAGCCACTTGCTCCTGGCATTTTAATTGTCTCTTACGACACGAATGGCTTATGGAGGAAAAAAATTCTAAGAATGCATTTATCATAATTTTTAATACCTTATACTTATACTTGCCTTATACTGTGTGGTGTAAATATTATGCAGAAAATTCGGAGTGTGGAAATTAGGAGAAGGTGTGGAGTTAATAAAAGTATTGGTCAGAGGGCTGAAGAGGGGTTGTTGAGGTGGTTTGGTCATTTAGAGAGAATGGATCAAAGTAGAATGACATGGAGAGCATTTAAATCTGTAGGGGAAGGAAGGCGGGGTAGGGGTCGTCCTCGAAAAGGTTGGAAGGAAGGGGTAAGGGAGGTTTTGTGGGCGAGGGACTTGGACTTCCAGCAGGCATACATGAGCGTGTTCGATAGGAGTGAATGGAGACGAATGGTATTTGGGACTTGACGATCTGTTGGAGTGTGAGCAGGGTAATATTTAGTGAAGGGATTCAGGGAAACCGGTTATTTTTATATAGTCGGACTTGAGTCCTGGAAATGGGAAGTACAGTGCCTGCACTTTGAAGGAGTGGTTTGGGATATTGGCAGTTTGGAGGGATATGTTGTATATCTTTATACATATATGCTTCTAAACTGTTGTGTTCTGAACACCTCTGCAAAAACAGTGATTATGAGTGAGTGTGGTGAAAGTGTTGAATGATGATGAAAGCATTTTCTTTTGGGGATTTTCTTTCTTTTTGGGTCACCCTGCCTTGGTGGGAGACGGCCAACTTGTTAAAAAAAAAAAAAAAAAAAAAAAAAACTTATTGTACAAAGGATTTGTTTTCTATTATGGTATTAAACCTTAGTCATGTATATTTTATGTTCTTTTTGTTTTAGTGCCTATGTCAAATAGATGTTATGGATTTAGTTTTTGATCTGCAGGCAGTTGAAGAATGAAAAATCTATCCCAGATTAAATTTTTTTTTTTTTTTTTTTTTGTTGTTGTTGTTGTTCATAGTAATGTATTGTTTTTTCTTGCATTTCAGGATCGGTTATTCTTTGTAATGGAATATGTCCATGGTGGTGACCTCATGTTCCAGATTCAGAAGGCTCGCAAGTTTACTGAACCTCGTGCAAGATTTTATGCTGCTGAGGTTACGCTAGCTCTACAGTTTCTTCATAAAAATGGTGTAATTTACAGGTAAGTTTAGGATTAGTATTTGAAGGTTAATAAAAAAGGTAAAAATGGGAGAATTGGTGAAGCAGAAGTGGAGAGAAAGTAAAAATTGTGTGGATTATCAGCCTGTGAGCAGTAGACTATTTTTAAAAGGTGTTAAACACACTTCTTTCTATGCAATACTCATGAACAAGCAATACAAGATGCAAAACAGTCATTTCCCTCTGTGGTGGTTTTACTCTTCTTTCTATGTTAGGTAAAAGAACACACGTGCAACTAATGCGACATTTTATTGTGGCAACATTTCACTGGCTTGACAAAATTCCTGGAGAGTGAAATGTTGCCACAGTAAAATGTTGCATTAGTAGCACGTGTGTCCTTTTACCTAACGTATTGATGAAGGAAAAAAGGTGAGTGGTGCGTTGAGGTATCTGTGGAGACAAAGAACATTATCCATGGAGGCAAAGAAGGGAATGTATGAGAGTTTAGTGGTACCAACACTCTTACATGGATGTGAAGCATGGGTTGTAAATGCTGCAGCAAGGAGGCAGCTGGAGGCAGTGGAGATGTCCTGTCTAAGGGCAACTTGTGATGTAAATATTTTGCAGAGAATTCGTAGTGTGGAAGTTAGGAGGTGTGGAGTTACTAAAAGTATTAGTCAGAGGGCTGAAGAGGGGGCTGTTGAGGTGGTTTGGTCATTTAGAGAGAATGGAACAAAGTAGGACAGCGTATAAATTTGTAGGGGAAGGAAGGCGGGGGAGGGGTCGTCCTCGAAAAGATTGGAGGGAGGGGGTAAAGGAGGTTTTGTGGGCGAGGGGCTTGGATTTCCAGCAAGTGTGCCTGAGCGTGTTAGATAGGAGTAAATGGAGACGAATGGTTTTTGGGAATTGACGATCTGTTGGAGTGTGAGCAGGGATTCAGGGAAACCGATTAGCCAGACTTGAGTCCTGGAAATGGGAAGTACAATGCCTGCACTTTAAAGGAGGGTTTTGGGATATGGCAGTTTGGATTTACTATCTAAGCTGTCATATCTGGGTGCCTCTGCAAAGACAGTGATTATGTATGAGCGATGGTGAAAGTGTTGAATGATAATGAAAGCTTTTTCTTTCTTTTTGGGTTTCTCTTTCTTTTGGGTCACCCTGCCTTGGTGGGAAACGGCTGATGTGTTAAAAAAAAATTATAATATATAATTAACGAATACTAATAAGATTATTTATTCTCTAATACTGATATTTTTTAATTTCAGAGATTTGAAATTAGACAATATTCTTCTAGATAGTGAAGGCCATTGTAAGATAGCAGATTTTGGAATGTGTAAAGAAGGGATCAGGGAGAGTATAACCACCACCACCTTCTGTGGCACCCCAGACTACATAGCACCAGAGGTGAGACTTAGTAGTATGCATTTTTTCTCTCTCAATTTTCTTGGTAGTATATGGGTGTTTCTCATTTTATTTTCTTGTATTTATTCATGTTTTCATAGATGTATCTTATGGTATAGTTTAGAATTCCAGAGAATTAAGGAAAAGTGGATAGGTGTATCTTTATGGTTTAAATACTTTTAGTAATAAAAGTTTATTCAAAATTTAACATTCTGCTTTTTGTTTAGACTAAAACTTTATTGAAATTAAATGAGTGCAAAATAGGATATGTCTAACAATTATGGTAAATATTGTACTCGATGACTGAGATCTATTGCTGTTATTTATTTGTATTGCAGTTATTATTTGCTTTAGTGGTTGGAGGAGTAACTAGTTCAAGAGCTTTGTTCTGCACTTTGTTCAACCATCTGAAGTGAAATAGATTTGTTCTCATTTTTGGAACCCATGTATGGAGTTGACATCTTCATTTTCATCATTGTTCTACTTTTCTGTTTTTAGATACCCCAGTGGCTTATGTGTGATGCTTCTGTACATGCCCTCTTATGGTAACTTTCTGTGGTAATGAGCTAATCCTTATCTTGCGTGTCCATGTCTGAAAGTGTTTTGTATGTCATATCCCTTCTTGCTCTTAGTTTTTTCTATTCTAGCACCAGTCTGGAAGCACCCCTTGAAGCTTCGTAGAGTTTCACCTTCTATTTGTATGATGGTTCTATGCTAGTGCTGCATACCACTCAGGAATACATTGCATACATGTGGTAAAGAATGTTTTTTTCTTCACTGATTTTCTTGAGTCTTATTAGGCCAGTATGGTACAGTGGTTAGCTTTCTGGCCTTCTAGTTTTTGAACCAGCTCAGTGTGGGCTCAGATCCCACCCATTCTGATGCTATTATTTTTTCTTCCCCACCATCTTTCCCCTATCCCCCTCAAGGTATTATTTACTATTAGTGAATCTTTTCCCATCTAATTTCATTACTTTGTTCTTGCAAGGGTTCAACTCGAGCAACCATTTATTGAAACACTTCTGAATTCTGTATGGCACTTCCTATAGTTTTCCACTATCATCCTCCATTTTAATTTTCCTTGTTATTTTGGCATCTGCATACAAGGATATGGAGTTTAATTCTGAGGTTTGTTTAATATTATTTACCAAGAACAGTTTAGGGCACAAAACTGCTTCTTTAGAGATTCTCTTAGTTACCCCTCCACTCTCATGCTGACATTTTACCCCTTATTTCAACTCGGTTTCCTGTTGTTCTGATATTCACTAATTTATACTAGTTCCTTTCTTGTTAGCCCTGCTTAGATTTCTAGTTTGCTAAGTAGGCCATTATGTGGCTTCTTTTCTGCCTAGCTTCTTTTAGTCCATCATGGAAAACAGGAATAAATAAAGAGGATGTAAATACTGTGCTAAAAATATCTAACCAAGACAAGACATGCAGCAGTGAGTTCAAGTTGGAAAAATTTAGATTTAGCAAGGATATAGGAAAGCACTTGTTTGGTAATAGAATTGCAGATGAGTCGAACAAACTCCTGAGTAGCGTCATTTAATCTAAAAAATGAGTGGGTGTAGGTGGGCACGAGTTAGACCTACTCAGCTTGGGCCAGAAGGCCTGCAGCAGTGCTCCTTGATAAGTAAGAAACATTTGCAATAGTTCAACAATAGTTGAGTATCTTTATTGTTGAAATGTTTCGCCTGCGCAGTAAGCTTCATCAGTCAAATACGGAGAATAATGTATTGTAGGTAGCAGAAGTAGTGGCGAGGTAGAGATGTAATCAATCCATCAACTTTTGAGAAATAGCTGGAGGTGGTCAGTCCCTCAGCCTGGTGAAGAGTTCAGCTCCATGATCTGGAATGATGTGATGCTGGAGCATGGGAATGGAGTCTTAACCCTTAAACTGTCCAAATGTAGATCTATGTTGACATGCGTAGTGCCCGAACGTAAATCTACGTCCGATTTTACATGCTTTCAAATGGATAAAAAAATCAAGGTCAGAGCGCTACGCACATCAACGTAGAATTACGTTTGGACAGTTTAAAAGTCAAATACTGTCGAAGGTGAGGTGTGGAAGATGTTCCTTCCTTCTTAAATGGGTGTGATTTGGACCTGCCTAAGATGGGGCAGTATTTTGGTCTTTCCCAGATCATTGACAAGGCATAAGAGAGAGAAATAGAGATAGAGATATAGATAGAGATATAGATAGAGAGATAGATAGAGAGATAGATAGATAGATAGATAGATAGAGAGATAGATAGAGAGATAGATAGATAGAGAGATAGATAGAGAGATAGATAGATAGATAGATAGAGAGATAGAGAGATAGAGAGAAGATAGAGAGAGAGAAGATAGAGAGAGAGAGATAGAGAGAGAGAGATAGAGAGAGAGAGAGATAGAGAGAGAGAGAGATAGATAGAGAGATAGAGAGAGGATAGAGAGAGAAGATAGAGAGAGAGAGAGAGAGAGAGAGAGAGAGAGAGAGAGAGAGAGAGAGAGAGAGATAGAGAGAGAGAGAGATAGAGAGAGAGAGAGAGAGAGAGAGAGAGAGAGATAGAGAGAGAAGAGAGAGAGATAAGGAGATAGAGAGAGATAGAGAGAGATAGAGATGAGAGAGTAGAGATAGAGAGAGAGAGAAGAGAGAGAGAGAGAGAAGAGAGAGAGAAGAGAAGAGAGAAGAGAGAGAAGAGAGAGAGAGAATAGAGAGAGAAGAGAGATAGAGAGAGAGAGAGATAGAGAGAGAGAGAGATAGAGAGAGAGATGGGGCAGAAGACGTGTCATAGTCAATTCATGTCATGTTTTCTTTACTATACTATACTACACTGTATGAGAGGATTTGACAGTTTGCTGGAGAAACAACAAGCATCAACAGTAGCATAACTGGGACTAAAATTCATGATAAGTTCATTTTGTATAAGAGCTGATTCAGCAAGATAGTATCTGTTGCATTGTTGAGGATTCACTTTGGTTAAGTTTATAGAGGTACATTGTACAGCCATTTGGCCTATGTCTTCACATGTTTTTGAGCTTGTGATAGCATTGCTTGTTGATAGCTTGTATGTAGTTCCAAATTTGTTCTCTCTTGTCTCGCTGTCCATTATTATATCAATCAGGCCAAAAAGTGATGTATTCTCTCTGTTTCCTCTTTATTATATAAGGAAACTAAAAGGTAAAAGATTAAAGGCTGTTACCAACTAATTCCATGCCCTACCATGGTGCTGAGAGCTTAGGGTACAGATGGTAGAAGATAAGCTGTCACTTCAGCTGCACTAATGTAAATTGCTCCTTAAAACTGAAAAGGTTAGAGAGGCATAAAGTATATTATATGTAAGTTTTATATAAAATTTTATTAGATTAAAAACAATAAAAAAGAAACAGAATGTTGAAATATGGATGCTAGCAACTATTTTTCACAGTTGGGAAAATTGCACTAGCTAAGGGTATTGCTGGAAATAAGTCCAAGATGTCCATATTTATATGATTTACATTTTTTTTTTCCCTAGCATTGTGTTCATCTATCAACATTATGTTCATTTTAAAGCTTTGCAACTCTGTATGTCTGTGTGTTGCTATTTCTTACATGGACCAGAATGTTGAATTGTTTGCAGATTTTCAATATTGCCTTTAGCATATGTGTTGTTTTGTCATTATTGCTAATTTCTTTTATTTGTTCCAGCTTTCAGCCACTCAAAAATCATTCAAATAATTGATGTTTTGCTTGTCATAAATTGTGTAAACTCTTATTTACTTGTAACAGACTTCATTTTGTGTGGTTTTGAGTTGGAAGAAATAATTTAAAAATTTAAGGCATATTTCTAGATAGATTTTTTGAGTACTCGCCTATTTGTGGTTGCAGGTGTCGATGTGAGTGAGCGAGTGAATGCACGTGTATATACGTGCACACGTGTTATTTTATAATGTAACAAATTTGTTGTATTTTGTGTTAGTGCTTGTCAAAGCAGATGTTGTCATTTGTTTTATTTTTTTGCAGTGATCACTGCTTACTTGCATTGTCACTGTTCAGGGTGTAGTACTTTTTTATATGCAGAATTTAGAATTATTTAATTACTGGAATAAGGTATTATTTGTAGATGAATAGTTCAGAGAACCGACATGTTGATAAATTAGACACATGTGCAACTCTTGGGTATCTTTATTGAGGAAACGTTTTGCCACACAGTGGCTTCATCAGTCCATACGTAGGAGAAACTTGAAGAACAGGAGGAGAATGAGGTAATCAGTCCCTCAACCTTGAGTCGATGTGTTCAGTCCATCAATCTTGAATAGAATACGGCATATGAGCGGAGAAGCAGCTTATAAACCGTATGGCAGGAGAGGTGCAGCAGTCATAGGTGGTGTCACATTTGTTCAATGTGGAAGTAGGTCGTGCCCAAGAATTAGGCAAGTGAAGAATTCCTAAGTATTAAGATCCTAAGAAGTTGCAGTGTCTGACAGGTTTGTAATGAATGGTTCAGAGAACCGACATGTTGATAAATTAGACAAAGTTGCCTCTTAGGATACCATTGAGGACACGTTTGTCTAATTTATCAACATGTCGGTTCTCTGAACCATTCATCTACAAACCTGTCAGACACTGCAACTTCTTAGGATCTTAATACTTAGGAATTCTTCGCTTGCCTAATTCTTGGGCACGACCTACTTCCACATTGAACAAATGTGACACCACCTATGACTGCTGCACCTCTCCTGCCATACAGTTTATAAGCTGCTTCTCCGCTCATATTGCGTATTCTATTCAAGATTGATGGACTGAACACATCGACTCAAGGTTGAGGGACTGATTACCTCATTCTCCTCCTGTTCTTCAAGTTTCTCCTACGTATGGACTGATGAAGCCACTGTGTGGCGAAACATTTCCTCAATAAAGATACCCAAGAGTTGCACTTGTGTCTAATTTATCAAGGTATTATTTCTTTATTGTTTATAATTTTGAGCCTAACCATTTAATGCCTCTATATTTTGTTAAGATTACCTAATATTTTATTATT